AGGCTCTTGTCTCTCTTTGACTCCTGTGGTGAATTTTGATCATTCTCACATGATTTTAATTGCTTTCTGAGAGCACATGACTCCCAAGTTCTCACTTAGCTCAAGCAGTACCACAGCTCTCAGGCTTAGCTAGTGGAGCTGAGGTAACAGTGGATTGCTACTCATATAGCAGGATTCTTTTTTCTTTTCTCCTTCCTCTGGTGGATTTCTCCTGTTCAGGCTGATTAAGACACAGGTTATTTCCATGACTGCTTTAATGTTTACCTGTGACTGACAGTTCACAAATGCTTAGTCAAGTAACCTGAATCAAAGGGGTTAGTCCTTCATGGATGCTAGTGAATTTTATACTTTTAAGTCTTTTGAAAGATAAGGCTGAGTTCAGAACTTGAAAAAGAACAAATAGTCTTTTGACCTCTAATGCTATAGCATTTACTTTCAACAAACTTTTTAAAAAAATATTTTTTTATTGATTTCAGAGAGAGGAAGGGAGAGGAAGAGAGTTAGAAACATTGATGAGATAGACAGACATCATTGGTTACCTCCTGCACACCACCACCTGGGAATTGAGCCCAAAACCTGGGCATGTGCCCTGACCAGGAATCGAACCTGCAAACTCCTAGTGCATGGGATGACGCTCAACCAACTGAACCATACCTGCTGGGCTCAACAAACTTTTTTTTTTTTTTAATCGTCACCTGAGGATATTTTTCCATTTATCTTCGGATAGAGTGGGAGGGAGGCAGGGGGAGGGGTGGAGAGAGAGAGAAACAAACATTGATGTGAGAGAGAGACATCAACTGGTTGCCTCCTGCATGACCCTGACCAGGGCCAGGAACAGAACAGTAACTGAGGTGTGTGCCCTTGACTGGAATTGAACCTGAGACTCTTCGGTCCACGGGCCGATGTTCTAACCGCTGAGCAAGACTGGCCAGGGCAACAAACTTTTAATTCTTACTTTGGTCTGGTGTTATGCTGGTGCTTTCATTCAAGCTACTGTCACAGTGAGGCATAAATTTTTCCATTTGAATAGAGGGCGAAATTAAACCTTGGATAAATTAACAATATATAGTCATGGTCACAATCTAGGTCTCGACTCAAACTCATGAATGCTCTAAGTTCTTTGTAAACTGTAAAGCATTATGTCTCTGTGGGTGGGAGAGAGAGAAGGGTTCATAAGGATTACTTGGGAGCTTTTTCAAAATACTCAGTCCCATTTCACCACCTGCTCCCAAATAATGCATTATTTTACAACTGTTTGTTAAATATCTGCTTCCTAAATGTGATAGTGTGTAACTCAGTTTAATATACACTTGGAGACTGCTTATATTAAAAGGGATATATGTTGATGGGATATAATACATTAGCTTCTATTAGAGCATACCCATCAGTGAGTGACTAGTGTTACTACTCATATTCTGGTTGTGTCATTCAACATAAACTTTCTTGCATGTTGATATTCAGAGGATTTGGAGAAAAAGGTAGTAGGTGCTGTTGGCATCAACTTAAACTGGATACATTATGTATGTAATTGAATGAGTTAATATAATTGTTCAACTGTAGTTGGCTCCAGATATGTGAGTTTGTAATTTGGAGGACACTGAGGTTTTCCTGACTTCACTGAACCTTAGCCTTCTCTTGTGAGATTTTCATGTTGCTGGTCATTTGCCTGGTCAGGAGAAGATTGGCATATGTTTGTTCTTTTAGTTAACCAACCTGGGGTTCAGGACACCATTTAGGAGCAGCAATGTAGCTTAAAATGAAGAAAGTGGAAACTAAGGCATTGAGACTACAGCATATTGGAAAAATATTTAGAAACTAAAGCTGGTAGTGAATGGTAGTTAATTGGGGGTCCTAAAGGTATTGCTGTTTGGAGGACTCACTGTATAAGCTCCTTTTCCCTTGCCTGAATTCTGAATTAACTGAGGAATAAAACAACCAACAGATGAAAAATGAAATATTACTGTTTGTAAAATAGTTTCTTTATTGAAATAAAATTCATGTACCATAAAGTTTACCATTTTAAAGTGTATAGTTTGGTTATTTTATGCTAAAAGTTTTTATTCGCAAGTTTGTGCAGCTGTCACCACTATCTTAATTACAGAACATTTTCATCATGCTCAAAAGAAACCTATTAGCACACACACCCCCATCCCACATCCCCCTTCCCTCATCTCCTGGCAACCACTAATCTACTTTCTATCTCTAGGATTTTCCTACTGTGAATACTTTTTATAAATGGAATCATACAATATGTAGCCTTTTGTGTATGACTTCTTTTACTTAGCATAAGGTTCTCTAGGTTCATCAATGTTGTAGCATGTAACAGTATTTCATTCCTTCTTATGGCTGAATAATATTCCATTGTATATTATGGATATTGTGTACATATACCACAGTCTGTTTATCCATTTATCAGTTGATGGATATTTGGTTTATTTCCACCTTTTAGCTATTATGAATAATGGTGTTATGAACATTGTGTGCAAGTTTTTTTGTGAACATATGTTTAAATTCTCTTGGGGATACACACACACACACACGCACGCACGCACGCACGCACACACGCCTGGGAATAGAATTGCTGGGTCATATGGTAACTTTTAGAAGAATTACCTTTGTTTCTGATAAGGGTGATAGAGAATATTATAGAATGTGGCTTAGGTTTAAAAGCCAAATAGGTTAATTCTCCACATTCTTTATTCTCACCCAACAACCCAGTTTAGACCATGGAACAGTCCACTTGATGTCTACATTGTTAGGCTCAGCAGAGAAGACACACCCAGATTACTGCTGTATGGAGCTCTAGATATAGAGTTCTGGAGTTATCTCTACTTGCTAACCAAGTTACTTCTTTGGTGAGGAGTGGGCTAAGAGCCCAGGAGTGTTTAGAGAAGTCATTCCTCATAGAAACCAAGAGTTGGAAAGAAGTGTGCTACTCTAACAGAGGAAATGAAAGGAGTTTGGCTAGAAACTTGAAAGTCATTTTATCAAGTTAGGAAATATATTAAAGAAAGATAGTGAATTCATTTTTGGACAGGGTATATTTTGGATTTCTAGGAGGGAATGTTAGATACTTATGTTTGGAGATCATTTAATTGATACCAGCTACAGATACAGATTTGGGTTCATCTGCATTCAATTGAAATAACAGGAGTGACTAAATCACACATAAAGTATAACAGTACAGAAAAGTGTCTGGTAATTCCCATATCTGAAGTCTTTGAGGTTTTAATTCTTCCAACTGATGTTTCAGCTGTATCTTTCTCTGAGTTACTTGTTTCTGAGTTTTGTGATTTTTGATTGTGAATTTATTAATTTTGGAACCTTATCTGTAGAATTCTTCCAGGCCGAGATCAAAGGCAGATTCCTCAGAGAGGATTTGCATTTGCTTCTATCAAGATTGGGTTGGGGACACTACCAATCTAGAACTACCCTAAACAAAATTATAATATAAAGCTTTTAAAACCATAATCTAGGTGAGGGTGAGCTTATTGTAAATATCTGGGGAGATACTACTGCATGCTATCATGTCCCCTCATCCCTTCACCAGCACTCAGTGCCAAGGGTGAGAAGCACTTTTCCTTGTGAACTTTGCTTCTGTACCTTGGGCCCCAATAGGCTTTAGAATTGCAAGCTGATATTCATAGGGTTTGGCAAAATGCCCTGAAGGTGAATGAAAGTTGTTTTTCTTTTCCCCTCTGCATACTTTTCTAATTTCCCTTTTTACTTAGATTTTGGTCTTGATCATGCCTTATTTTCTTTTATGCTATTATAAAGATTTAAAAATATTTTATCCAGTATTTGTTATTTTCAGTGGCATGTTGATCAAGCTCTCTAGTCTGTCATTCTGGCAGAAATAGAAATATCTGTTTCCCTTCAGGGCATGCAGGGACAGTTGGATGTAGGGAATTCAGTAAGCCTCTAAATCAAAGGTTATAAACTTGGGACACAATGCAATGTTTTGTTTGGCCCTTATAGCATTTAGAAAATAAAAATCAGGAGATTTAATATAAAAATGTGGATATCATGTTTCTCTTGGGGAAAAAAAAAAAGAGAAGATCTTGGAATACTGGGCCTGCAATCCTGTTGAGCAACAATTGGCTAGAATTAGGAATAGCAGCTGATTTCTTCAGAGTGAACATGTTTTCTTAAGTTGCTCACAATCTTCATCACTTGTGTAACGTGTGTGTGTGTGTGTGTGTGTATACATATACATATACATATATATACATACCTATTCCAACTTCTTTCATTCATGTTACCTGTAGACATTTGTAGATCATCCTTGTGCCAGGTGGTAGTGTTAACAAAGACAATTTCACATTTGTTCGTTGATTTATTTAATTATTACATCAAACTTGCAATTTATTCCTGATGAATAAAGTTATATAGGTGGTATTATTGTTAAGTTAAAGATGAAGAAATTGAAGTTCAATGAGGTTTTTTATAAATTCTTCAAGGTCTTATAGTACCACAGCCAAAATTTTACCCTAGAACTGCCTTATTCAAAGCTCCTCTTGTTTCAGTGCTATTCTTACCTTTTTTTTTTTAAGCAGTGGAATTGTTTCAGATTAAGTCTTCGTGAAGTCCAGGATATAAAACCAATAAGGATAGCACTGCTTAGGTTGAAGAGTAGATGGGGTAGGTGACAATTATGTGGGAATGAGAACCTGCATTCTCAATTCTTTGGTAGCCTTTAGGCATCTCTTGGAATCCCTAGGATTCTACTAAACAGTTTGGACACACTCTCTGTCTAGCATAAGCATAACAATTTGTTAAATTTTAAGTTTTTAGCTCCTTTGCATGTTATAGTATGCCTGTTTCTCTTATGTTGTATGCCTGTCTTCCTTAGTATAATCCCTCATTGCATTTTTGATTCATGTGGGTATGTGTTCAGAAAATATGAATCTTTTAGCCTTCTATTTTTTTCTTTTTAGTGTTTTAATTAGAATTGCAGTATTTTCTTCTGAGCATCTGATAAATAACTCTTCTCTATTTTTCAGATTCTCTTTGTGGCCAGATGGGTTTGTATGGACAGGCTTGTCCATCTGTAACTTCATTAAGGTGAGTGCTCATTTTTCTTTATTGGAACATACAACGTTTTAAAAATTATGTTGGTCAAGTCACATTAGAATGAATTTCAAGGTGAGGTTCAGAATAAACTGTTGTAGTTTATTTTGTCAAACTACAAAATAGTGTGGGTTGGGAGGTATTTGTGCTTACAGAGATATTTCTGGTAATGGGATTTGGATCATTAATCTCTACTTGTTGAGTTTACATATGTTCTTATACATGAAATAACATAATTATAATAGAATTATATACTTTTTTGTCATTTCATTTTTTAAAAAACTAATCTCTACTTGTTTTTGTTAGAAAATACTGATTGCCTTTGTAGCAGATTATTAAATAAGATTAGATGCTAATTTTAATTTTAACCTCTTTTTAAGGATGATGTAAACATGATACCTAGGTTATCCTCATTAATAATAAGTAAAATGTAAAATATAACTTAGGAAATAAGTTATATACAACACAGTGGTTTTAGATTTTTTAAAGTTGCTAAATCCTTTACAAATTAAATTTTATGTGAAATCCAATGAATAAAACAGATAAATGTGGGACTTTTCTGCTAGCTTAGGCTTTCATTTTCTACACTCACACAGATTTATCTCTGAGGGATTGCTGCAGTTCCCAGAACACAGTTTGATAAAATAATCTAAATTTAGTCTGTTTATTGGAATCTTTCAAACTAGAATATGAAGTGTTGATGGCAGCACCTACCAGTTATATGTGGTGTTGCAGGTAGCTGTATCATTTATGCACTCATCATATTGAGCACCAAATATGTTGTCAGGCTCTATTCTAAATGCTGGGTCTACAGCAGCAAATGTAGCAGATAAAAATCCAGTAATCATGGAGCTTACATTCTGGTGAAGGGACAATTAGCGAACAAGATAAGAAGTATCTGTTAGTAACTAAGGGCAAAGGCGAAAAATAAAATAGAGAAAGGGACTAGGACATATAGGTTTTTTTTTTTAAAGACAGGATAGCCATGGAAAGCTTTACTGAAAATGTGACATTTGAAAGAAGACTTGAAAGAGTGATGGAATGAGCCATACTTGGATATATGGAATATGTGCATTCCAGGTAGAGGGAATCCAGAAGTGCCAAGGCAGGAGACTTACTTGTCTTGTATGTTGGAGGAATGATGAGGTCAGTGTGGCTGGAACAGTGATAAAGAGAGTTGGAATTCCCTAGCTCTGGACGGCAAAAGGAAAGAGAGGAGGAAATGGTTAGAGCTATGAATATGAAGCCAAGGAATCTTTAGACTGGAAAGAAATTCTGGTTGTATAGAAGGCCACAAAAGAAAAATGAAGTTGCCTTTTTAGTGTTTATACACTTGAGTTTTCAGCAGACCAAGGCTGACTATTCTTTTTCCTCAATAGAAAACTTTGCTCCATGCCATAATGGCATTTCTTTCCCTAAAAATGCATCTTCAAGCTTATAATGGAAATAGATGGAGAGATTGCTTTCTACTTTGTTAGAGTTTGTGACCCCTGCCACACGCATACCCCCCCCCCCAATACCACCAAACAAGGAACACCTGTGTAGTTCTGAAAAGAGCTTTTTAAAAAGCGTATCATCTTTTATTTTATTTATTTTTGTATTTTTATTTTTTTTTGGTATGTGCCCCTAGTGGGAACTGAACCCAGGACTCTCTGGTCCACAGGCCGACGCTCCAACCTCTGAGCCAAACCGGTCGGGGCAAGAGTATCATCTTTTAAAAAAATTTCCAAAGTTGCTGTAGAACTAATTTGACTTAACAATGATATCTAATTAGTATGATGGGAGGAGTAATTTTACCCTTTTTTGGGGACTGTTTAAAATTTGGATATGGTCATATCAGGATATTTTGCAGACTTTGATCTTCCACTGATTAGACTTCCTTAAAAATATTTTAGTTGTGGGATATGCTGAAACAATCATGTGTTAAAGTCACTGACTGACATTGTAAAGTCTTTTATTTGAATATTTAGATTAAGCTATATGACATTGGATATATGCTTAACTTTTTTTTTGCTTGATAGAATTATAGAATTGGAAGGGATGATGAAAAAGAAGAGTTATTTTATAATTTACTCACTGCAATAATTCTTTTGACAATATTCTAGAATTAATTTTTTTTGGTGGATTTAGCTACAAAATTAGTATTTAATAAACTGAGAAGCTCTGTGGCATCTGAGTTGGGTTATTTAAGATTCTTATATATACCTTTCATTTCTCTAATATTCTATATGGTCCATTTATGAAGCAGAGAAAACCATTGTTTGTCATTGATTTTTCTAACTGGAAGCCAGCTTTGGTTTAATGTATGGAAAAGAAGAAAAGAATGACAATTTTTTGGTAGTGGTGTGGGGGAAACTGGATTACTTAAAACCACAATCAGTTTTAGTCTACCTTCCCATATAGTCTTCCTCAAATCAGAAACATCTTCCTAGGAACTCTTAAAGTAGTTAAATCCATTGACAAACACTGCTTGTTTGCCACACCTCTCTCACATATACTACCAGTATATCTAGAAAGTGGCTAACCTGAAGAAGAAAAGCATTTGAGTTGGTGGAGAAGAACTGGACATGTGGCTGAGAAAAAGAAAATGGGAAGACAGGAGTTTGTAGGCATAGATAAGAATGGGAGTGGACAATTTATGCGTAGTGAAGGTAGGGGGTGGAATGAACATATGTGACATTTAAAAAATTTGTTGGGTAGGAAAATATAGTAAATGGATTAAACTCTTCCTCTACCCTCTTTAAACATTTAGGGTAAACAAGTTAAATATTTCCTGTGAATGATATTGGACCCTTGTTTAATTTTAATGTTAGCATTATTTTTAAAGTTGTGCTTATTTTGCTTTTATGATGAAACGATGTATAATGGAATATTACACAACTGTAAAAAAGAACAAAATGTTACCATTTGTGACAGAATGGATAGACCTAGAGGGTATTAGGCTAAGTGAAATAGTAAGTCAGTCAGAGAAAGACAAAGAGAGATTTCACTTACATGTGAAATCTAAAGAACAATATAAATGAACAAATAAAACAGAAACAATCTCATAGATACAGAGAACAGACTGATGGTTGCCAGAGGGGAGGGTGATTGGGGGACTGGGTGAAAAAGGTGAAGGGATTGAGAAGTACATATTAATAGTTACAGAATAGTCATAGAGATGTAAAGTATGGCATAGGAAATATAGTCAGTAATACTGTAATAACTATGTATGGTGTCAGGTGGGATACGGGAAATATTGGGGGGAACATTTTATAAAGTATGTGATTGTCTAACTATGCTCTCTATACCTGAAACTAATACAAAATATTATTGAATGTAAACTGTAATTGAAACATTTTTTTTAATTAAAAAAAAAGAGAAAGGGATCAATGAGATACTCTTGGCACAGAGCCTGACACACATAAAAAAAAAAAAAGATGTAATATATGTTTATTGTAGATAATTTAGCTCTCCACAGATACTTCTTGTTAATATCTTCTTATCATGTAATTTCTACTAATAGATATAATGTGTGAATTAGAAAAAGGCCCACTAAATTTCTTTTAGAAGAATGATTGCAAAAGATTTTGTACCAATAGCTAAGTATATACTTTAATTTAAACCAAATTCCTGTGCCCAGAGGGGCCACTAATGATGGACTGCAAGCCTGGAAAAGGAAAGAGATATTTGTGCCTTCTTGTCTATTCTTTGGGTTTCATAAGAACAACTTGTAAAGTAACAATTATATTAAAGTAATAACTCCAGCAAAGGCTTCTCATCCCTCCAACAGAGCCTTATGGGAACCAGAGGCAAATCATAGACATGTGGTGTACAGATTCCCAGTTCCAGCATCATTAAAGCAGATTGGGAAGAAGGGATGGGGGTTTGGACCTGAGAGCCAATAACTTAATAACTTGTTCCAGCAAACTACTAAGAAATATGGTATAAAAAGATATTTTTCTCACATTTATTTTGCTGCCAGTGTTTATGTAGAATATTTGCATATTGCTTAAAAAACCCTAATTTTATAAATCATGTGAAATTATATTAAAAATTTATATAGGATTCACAGGTAAGCAATATGAATTACTACATTCATATCCTGAGTTTGAATAAAGTCTGGATAGTGAATATTGGGTCATCTATATCTATTCATTTCTTGAGTTTTGGATACAAGGGTGAGAGTCCAGATAATGATGGATACAGTTTTTATCAAACAATAGAATCTTAAAAAATTTAGCAGAATCTGTTTGGTTCCTGAGTTTGCATAAGAATCCTGAGGCATAGTTGTATTTTATCTCCAAGTACAGATTCAGTAAGAGCAAAAGCTTACTAAAAAAGCAAAGGCTTCCCTTGAACATTTGCTTTATTTAGACAAGTAAACATATATCTATATAATACTTCTTTCACATGTAGCAATGGACTCTTTTTTGTAATTTGGTTTGATCAGAGCAAAATAAAATTTGATTTTTTTTTGGACTTGTTAAAATGGGGCCTTTCCTGCATTTGTAAATCAGCTAACTGTATTAGAGAATTTATGTTATTGTTTATATGTGTATACAGCCTCCAGTAGCACTTTAAGTCGTTTCTGGTGACATATACTACCTTCTACATAAGATCTCTTCCTTTTTTTCTCTTTTTCTATTTTCACCCCTTTTTCGCTCTCATTTTTTCTTTTTTGTTATGCTTCTTCCTTAAAGATGCCTTTTATTACTGATCCAGTGTATCTGTTTAGCATATGCTAGGGAACACAGGGATATTTTAGCACCAGCGCAGCTCACGTTCTAGTGTCCCACATGAATTTCCTGTTCATCTGTTTCCTCATTTTCCTCCTTTGATGACCCTGCTATTTAGAATGGCCAGAGGAGGGTAGATTTATTTTAAAACTTCTTGCTGCTTTGTTACTAGTAGCAGGCTTGGTATTGATAAGGCAGCTTTGGTATATAGCCTTACAATCAGGTAGATGCAGGTTCATATCTCTGCCACATATTACCCATATGATCTACAAGTTA